TTTGGTTAACTACAAACAGTGAGAAAAATGTGCTATATTATGATGATGACCAATAGCAGGAAGACAGAAACTTCACCAATATCAACCTTGGTAAAATTCAGTTACCAAAAGATTACCAAGAAATACAGGCAACAGGTCCAAAATAAGGAAAATTAAAAGAAATAAAGAAATAAATAAAAGAAATGGGTGCATACTCCATTAAAATAGAACAAAGAACAATGGAATAAAGGAAGGGGATTAAGGGAGAAGGTGGAGGGACGGGATAAAATCTGATCTAACTTTCCTATGTACATATATGAATATACTACAGTCAGTCTCACCATTATGTATATCCATAAGGCACCAATATTAAAAAAAAACTATAAGTAAATAGCAGAAAGATCAGTAGAATATAGGGAAGGGAATGGGGTGGCGGGGGGGAGTACCAGAAACTGAATTAGAGCAAATAATATTCCATGCCTTTACAATTATGTCAAAATAAATCCTAATGTTATATATAACTAAAAGAACTAATAAAAAGAAAAAGAAATATATAGCCAACCACAAACCACAGACCACGATATAAGGAATTTCTTTATTTAATCTCCTTCCTCCATACCCAAAGAAAACAAACAAAAAGAAAAGGAGGGGGGGCTGGGGATGTGGCTCAAGCGGTAGCGCGCTTGCCTGGCATGCATGCGGCCCGGGTTCGATCCTCAGCACCACATACCAACAAAGATGTTGTGTCCGCCAAGAACTAAAAAATAAATATTAAAAATTCTCTCTCTCTCTCTCTCTCTCTTCTCTCTCTCTCTCTCTTTAAAAAAAAAAAAAAGGAGAGGCTGCAACAGTGGCAAACTAAGTAGAATGTACATACCCCTCTATATGTAGTTCAACACAGAAAAGTTAGACATGACTACACAGATGTCAGGTACAGATGGAAAACTAAGAAAAAATACATATGTCTCAGACACAAATGTTTTATTCTTTCAACCTAAAATATAGACACCAAAAGGTTTAAGTTTAAATACAGAACAACATGAACAACTACTCTCCAGAAATCACCAATGGTAGAATAAACCCTCTAGACTTTTAGCCTTGTTCACTCTATCATTTGTAGAATGTCTATATAGCCCTTTAACTTTGGTTCTTAAAAGTATAAAGCCTCTAACAGCAGATTAGGTATCAGCTGGGAATTTGTTAGAAATGTTTGACCCATTCCAGATCCACTGAACCAGAATTTCTGGGGGGATGGGCCTAGTAATCTACATTTGGACAAGGCCATCAGGTAATTTTCAAGTGTGCTAGAATTTGGGAACCACTGCTGTAACCTTTAATTTACAACTACTGCTCTGTAAAATGTGGTTTCCTGAATTTGCAGATGATAATGAGTAAAACTGGTGGATAAGAAGATATCAGAACACACTAACTTTAACTGTTTTATTATGTAGGAATATACAATAAAATATGTTCATGTTTCTGTTAGTATATCTTATGTAAAAAAATATTCAAAAAAGCTGGCTTAATATTTGTTTTGCAGAAGTGCAAAAATCCTTTCTCTCTTATCCTCTGAAAGTTCCATAATTGAGTCTATGAAATAAATTGCCAGCAAGACAGTTTAATCGGAGAAAAGGCATAAAAATTAATTATGGGGGGGGGCAATCAGAGGAAAGCAAAATGAGTACCTGAACACTCAGTAAGATCTAGAAGCTCATGCCCTCTTCGCAGAGGACATTGGAGAGAAGATGTGGGCAACTTTGGGAAGAGTAAATGATTTGGTGATAGCCTGTGACAAAGTTTGTCTGGGCTTGGTATAGACTTTCTTAACCCCACTCCCAACCCCCCACTTGGGTAACATAGTAATCTTCCCCAGTAGATGAGACTCTCTGTGAACGGATTCAGGACAAATGAGTTCCTTGTTCCTTTTTTGAAGAATCTATCTTTAGGCAGATAGAGAAACATCAGAAAAAGCCCCTCTCTGCACTGCTTTGGGAAGAAAGAAGGGAAAGAGGGCAGAAAAAGATTAGAGACACCTTGGTT